GACGGTCCAGATCACTCTCTATTAATCGCGTTGGACGATTCAGATCAAATGCAATGGGACGACCCAGATCAAAAGGAGATGAGTATAAGTAACTCACTTCACACCAAACCCTAACCCTAGCCGCCACCCGCCGCCGCACCGGAGCCCTTTCCGACCGCCAAAAGAGATAAAAATTTTCTCCTTTGCTCAGAATTCAATTTTAAACACTTCATGGACAAATTGGAGCAAAAAGACCAAAAATTGCGAACAAAAGCCGCGAGGAATTTCACAAAATGCCTCCGATGATGCCCTTTTTTATTCCTGTTCTATGTAATTTTTCCACCATTTTGATAACCGTTTCCTTCTCTACAGGTTAACTGGGGCAAAACACCCAACCGCAACGTGAGTCGGAGGAGCCGCTGTACTGGAGAATCCCGTCGCCGGTGAATTTCGATTTTTTGTATTTTTTCATCGAATCGAGGTCCCTTAACGTGTTTTTTCACAGTGATTGATGCAAAATCGGCCGAAAACAACCGACCTGAGGCGAACCGCTACCACAGGCAGGAACTCCATTGCCGGAGCACGGTAGAGTTGCCGTACCAAAATTTCGTTAATTTTTTGTATTTCTTTCAAACGGGTAATTTGCATAGGATTATTTGGTACTTTAAGTCGTTGTATAAGAAATGTAAATTCTAACTAATTATTTCGCTTTCGCACTTAAGTTATTATTTATTTTTTTTGAATTTTCGGAGTCGTTACATCAGTACCTATGATCAATAAACCTAGCAAGCTTGTTACATTCTTCCTTAATTATTATATGTTGTTATTTTTTTAAAAAAAATTATAAATGTTACGTACGAATTATAATTGTTTTACATACTATTTTCACTAAACTATATGTTGAGATTAAAGATTTTAACTATTATTATTTTATATAATTTAGAAAATACAGTAGATAGTAAATTTATAGTTTTTTTAACTAATTAATATAAATAACATTTATTAATTATATCATTATTAAAATTAGTTTTATTTGTTAATCTATATTTGGAGTTTGATTGATATGTGGAGCCTTTCACTTAAAGAAATTAATAAATATGCAATATAATATTTTTTACTAAATCCCTATTCAAATTAAAGATTTTAAGTATTATTTATATGCTATTTTTATATTGGAAATTTTTTTTTTTAAATATAATCCTTATTTTTTGATTAATTAAAAGTATGGTCATTAAATTGTTTTTTACAATAAAAATTTTAAATTATATATATTTACTATATATAGACACATATAAAACCGATTTATAATTGTTAGTTCTATATGTAATAGATATCTATGCCTTTTGTTGTGTATATCTAATAGATATATGAATATGACATTTGTTGTTATATATATATATATACCAGACGGGGTTAGATAATAATGCGTACAGCTAGTTGATATAACATGCATAGATGAATACGGGTGTCACTATCAATAGTTTTTAATTATATAAATACCATTCAACATTATCTTTCATTAAAATATAAAACATAACTCCTAAGTAAAATAAAATAAACCCCGAATGTTTATTTAATTTTAAATAATCATTTGTCAATATGTTTTTAAAAGGCACACATATAATTTACATGTTATTAATAAAATGATATATATGTATATATACAAATTTATTGTAATATAATTTTTAATGTAATTACATTTATTTAATAATAATACTTTATATTATCTAATGGTAGTCGTACGCTCCTTCAATCAACATAGATTGTGACCTCAATTTGTATGGCGCTGACTTTGACTTCCCTTTGTTTGTATCACGAGCATTTACAATATATTATTACTAAAAAGTTGGTGATATATCCAAATTTATATCATTATTATTTTATTGTATAGTAATAATTATTTTTTTTAATCAAGCTCTAAAAATCATGTCCTCTGGTGGAGCACTAGTCATTTCCTTCCATTCCTGTGTTCCCTCATATCTATCACCCACCCGTGTTACATACATCACATGGGTACATATATATACTTATGAAGATAATATATAATACACATATATAGGAGGAAAGAAAATTAATATTCCATTAAGGAAACCTAAAAAGTGAATTATTTTATTGTTTGTAAGGAGTTTTTTTTTTTTTTTTAATTATCGTTTCATTTGTGTATTAATTTAGTATATGTGTTTATATATATATATATATATATATATATTAGATTATTATAATATTAATGGAGATTAAAGGTAGTAATAGGTGCATTTTCTGGTAAATTTGTTTGTTTAACGAGCATATGTATTAGAAAGTTCATGAACTTGCTTGAATGATTACATATCACCATAGCTTTTTTAATATGCTTAATTATTTTCTGGTCTTATCACTTAAAATATATTATACGCATTTATTTCTAAAGTGAGGAGATTATTTAAATAATAAGTATATGTTGAAGCACTATAATGTATTCATTATTAAATTATTAAAAAATTAGTTGACCAATAAATTTAATAAAATAGATTTTTTATGAAATTATTAATAAAAATATAAATATTAGAGATATATTGAATGTTGGTTTTGTTTTTAAAAATACAAATATTATAAAATATGGGCTCAAAACAGGGTGCTAAATCTGATGTCAGCGGATCACTTTTTATTTTAGATTTGAATTAAAAATTAAAAATTAATAAATATACATAGAATTCAAATAGTTTTATTAATTTGAGGTTTACATGTAATTACTTTTTTCAATCATTCTATTAATTTAATGTTCTTACATAAATATTAATTAATATTTTATATTACTTTATTTCATTTTGTTATAGAACATTAAGTTAAATCATTCAAAAAAATAAGTTTCTTAGCTATTACAATAATGTAAGAACAAACAAGAGCCTAATATTTAGGTCTTCAAATAAATTCTCTTATATGCATATATTATGGTAGACTAATGGCAAAATCAACACATACATGACCATCCCATTCCACATTTCACATTACACACAATTTATAAGAAAAATTCAAGTTTCTTTTCAATTACATCAAGCACTGCAAGTAGATCGACACAAGAATAATTTATTCAGTTCATAAAAAAAGAAACAGTAATAATTCTTATATGTGATTCAGACTGTTGAATTATATGTATTTATAGATACATATTAAGAACATATATTTATATATCTCTTGATAGGTTTTACCGATTGCTACACTTTTTTTTTGTCACAATATTTTAAAATACTAGTACATTTTGAAATAAGAATAGTATATGGTTTACATTTTATTTTTATTTTTTAAAAAGTTTAAATTAATATGTATTTTGTTTTGATGATGATGAGATGAATGTGCATGATGTGAAATATATGGATGTTTATTGATGAGGAAACATGCATGTATGTGTGGGGGATGTGAAGTAACAAAATGGAGGCACTATGAGTGGAGCAACATTCATGATTCCATAATTACGTCCCTATCATGCACGAATGCAACACTGGTATTTATTCTCTTCTGGGTCCCTCTTTATTTATTTATTTTTTTTTTTATTTTTTTGGGGGTACTTAATTAGGGACCCCATAACTCACCTGCTTAAGCATGGGTCGCCATCTTCATCTAAATTCCTATTAAAAAGAAGGACAAAGTGATTAAGAATCAATCAATCATCAAACGGCTAAGATGCATTCACCCATCATTAATCACAATTAATCAACCATATCTAAATTACCTCCAACTTGGTAATTGCCCATCTAATCTCAACCTCCATAATTTTGGACCCATCCCCACTTTTCATTTCCAAATCATGAACTGTAAAGCTTTAACCTTAATTCTTTTTCTTTTCTATTTCCTAAAATTTGCATCATCTTTCTTTCTTATTTTCCCCAAATTAAGAAATTATTATTATTTAATTATTATCCAATGATGAAAATAATTAAATTGATACAATAGCCTGTATAATTTTTATATTTTTTTGAAAAATAGTAGTTAAAAAAAAAAGAAAGGGATTAAAAAATTAAAAAAAAAATTATATAATTAGGCAGGTTTGTCGACATGCTGGGTTAAAAAACAAAGACCCCACAATTTTAGAAAAATCGAGGAGTGAGAGTCCCCTTTAAAAGCCGCTTCCTTCTTTTCTTTTTGATAATCACTACCACTACCCACCACCCCCAACTTGCCTCTTTCAAAAAATTATTCACCAAAATGTGGCGGATGCTGGCGGTGCTCAACCAGAACCTTCAGAACATACGGAAGAGTCCAAGGGTGGCCGACGAGAGCGTCTTGGCCGCCGTCAACGGTGCCGAGGTCGGGATTTTTGGCCGAGACAATATGCATCAGATGAGGAGGAGATCCACCAGGTGGACTGCTTTTTCCGTCATTTGCAGCGTCGTTCGCGCTCCCTTCTCCATCATTTCTTGCTTCTCTCAGCCGCACGTTAATGGCGCCGATAGGGTTTGGGTATCAGGCGAATTTGCCCAGATTTCAGAGATGAATCATCTAATGGTCAGTGACAGCATGCGTTATGCAATATTGATGTAATTATTATGACTATATAAAAAAGACAACACTTTATATATATATATATATGGGGAATTACAGAGCCTGAAAAGTAACTGGGATTTTTGATCTCTTGTAATATTGTACCAGGTACTTTGATTAGTTTGCTTGCAGGATTTCAGGAAAGGAATGTCTTCTTCTTTTTTCGATTTACTTTTTTTCTTTTTTAAAAAAAATATATAAAATTATGATTCATTCATTACTATTTTCCACTTTTTTCTCTTATTAATGCTACGATGATCCGGTGATAATTAATAATTAGTTCACGAGAATTGGAAAATTTCAGTTCCATGAATTAATGAAAGAATGATGATTCATGAGACTTGGTTGTGGTCTAAGGACGTTTCTAATTAGGTAATTAATGGTTGAAATGTGAAAATTAAGAGTAATTATATTATTTATAAGAGCTTTAATTTCAGCCTAAAATCTGTTAGTTAGATTTAATTCGTGGTTTATTAAGTAATTGACCCAACTCCAATTTTCTAGCATTATTACATATCTTCAGGTAATTCAACTATTAAGGGTTATTGGACAAGAGAAAAACAATTAATATTATTTAATTTATTGTTTTGAAAAAGAATGTTATAATGATAAACCCAAAGTACAAATTTCAAGTACATGAAATCAACTGGGAAATTAATTACGAGAAGATCAAAATTCAACTAGAAAGATAAATTAATAATAACCAATTCTTCATTCATTAAAATTACGTACTATTTTTAACTATTTATTACTTTTATATTTTATTATATATGCAATTTGTAAAAAGTTAATTGTATAGCTGTTGGATGCGATAATATTATTTAATCATTAAAATATATAAATTATTATTAAAAAATAAAATAAAATGTTATGGTATTTAAAATTACTTTATCAACTTAAATATAATAAGAAAAAGGATCCATGATGATATAATCACCAAACATGCATGAATCAAATCTACATGTACAATCTGTTTAGCAAATTCCCCAAGTAAAATCTGTGGCATAATATTGAACATACGCACGCATATTATGTATATATATGTACGATTAAAAAGGGGATAGCTCGTAAGGTCCGTATTCGAATTCTCATAGGCCAAATTTTGCCTACACACTTTTTGATAATCTTAACTTAAGCTTATCTACTGTCCTTTGAGTTTGCTTTGATTGGTGAAAAGTAAAGTACCCTTCCAACCTTAATTTTTTGCCCTCTCAAGATATGGAATAAATTCTGCGGGTTACTGTCTGACAAACATCTCCCTTCTCTGTCATTAACTCCTCTATACCACAGTTTTAATTCATCCTCCACATATATATATATATATATTTTTATATTTATGCGTGCATGCATGCACATATGTAAATATATATATATATATATATTTATGTATAGTTTCCAACACTTGAGAAGAATCAAGATAAGATTGTCATTAGGATCATTGATCCATCTTTATTTATTATTGATGATTTATAATCTTTAAATGTATGGTGCTATATATTCCTTTTGTTTTAATTATAAAATAAATGTCTTTATTGAATCGATAAGCTTAACATTAATATTTTCTTAGAAAAAGACTATATATGAATATAATAAAAACTAGATAACGGATATGCAAAAAGAGAGGGGGGAAAAAAAAAAAAAGAAGCAAAATTTCGGAGAAATGTGTATTTAGTTAATTAATAAGGAATATAATTCAGGATAACTTGAAGCATAATTTAATTAAAAAATAAAAATAAAAGCTAATTACATATATGTATACATATTAACAAATTAAGAAACAAAAAATTTTTCCATGGGAAAATGAAAGCTTGAGTTGAATGGATTCGTAAAGATGAATCTTATCTACAGAATTAAGTGGAGGGGCCTAATCAAATTTATAAATTAAATAAAAGAGAAAATGGAAATTAATTAATTAAGTAATTATATGTTGATGAATTTAAGGGGAGAAAGGGCAAATGATGTGGTTGTGTTTATGTCCATATTTAGTGCGACAGAAGAAAAAATAAAAATAAAATTGATGGTCAACTGCTGCACCACCAACTTGCTTATAATCATAATTTGAGGAGACTAACAATATGCACTACTGCTGATGATTCACATCCCTAACCATTTCCATTATCTCCATCCCTTCCATGTACATACATACATATATATTACAATTTCCTTCACTTTATATCTTTTTTTGAATTATACCGTTGATAATCTATCACTCGGCCATGCACATGGTAGCTATATTGGGTAATAAGAATAGTTTTAGTTGTCATGGATGCATGAATCATGATACATGAATTCTACCCATTAGTACTTGAAGGTATATGTGCTAAGTGCGAGGTTGCAATGATTATATAGGGTTATGTATATATATATTGTTAACTTCTAATCGGGCAAGTTTTTGTAGTTGTGGGAGTTGCATGATGTGGCCTTCGTGTAAGTTTTGAAACTAATGGGATAGCTGTTTTCCCTATCCGACTAGCTATGGCTGTTTTAACATATCTTACTTTGTCTTATCTCATTCCTTCTTGATTTAATCACTATGTATGTATATGTATATGTAATATACGCTTTAGTATAATAGTGTTTATATATCTATATATGTATCTATGTTGTTCCGTACGGTGGTACTCTCATCAACTACAATTTTGTTGGTCAGGCTATCATTGAGAATACCTCGTTGAGAGCTTACAAATATCAAATCAAAATAAATCCCTAATCGATCTCATAATTCTTGTTAAAACCCACTTGGAGATTGTCAAGCTAGCGGAGATTTGTCAAATCTAGCTCATGGTGCCTTGACTGAATAGAAAATTAAATGATAAAGAATACCAAAAAGAATCACATACATAGTATTTTCTTAAGTTTTTAAATTATAAATAATTATTATTATTATTACACATTCAAATTTTATAATAATGTTAAATTTTGAATTAAAAATATATATTATGTAATGATAAAATTGAAGGTATTACTATTAATCCATATTTTAAAACATAAAAATAAAAGTAATGTGATGATATATCATAGTTATCCATTTAATTTTTATATATTATTATTCACTAAAATTTTAAAATATGAAAATAAAATTAATACAACAAATATATACAATATGTATCTATTTAAAATTCTTAATATATAAACAAAATTTATTTAGTGTATTATAAATCATAAACTGTACAAATTCTCAATAACCTATTTTCTTACTTATACCTCATTTATCAATAAGTATGATGTATACTTACGTTTTTAAACTAATAATTCTAATATGATATTCTTGATTTGTACGTTGTACTGCATGTCTTAGTTATCTGATTATGACATGTAATTATTATTTTTTAATTCAATTCAAACAAAAGTAACTTTTTTATATATTTTTTTATAAATTAAATATTTTAGTAAAATCATAATTCATGTATAATATAGTATATATTTATGATAGTTGAAATTTTAAAAATGTAACTAATATTTTGAAAAAGAATGTACAAAAGGGCCCAAGATGGGCCCTATTTACTTCGGCCTGCCTAGCTTGGTATGGGCTAGGTCGGGCTGCCCAAGCCCAATCTGGTTATACTTTCAAGAAAAGGCTCAAACTAGTCCACTTAAAAAAGTTTTTTTGGGGGCAAGTTGGTATGGCACAAGTTGCAATACCATGAACTCAAATAGTCCGAGAAGCAGCAAAAATGTATATATACATATATATATATATATATATATGTGCATGTAAAGAAAAAGTTGAATCAACAAGAGTACGAGAAATAAATAAACATATATATTTATATATATTAGAGAACGCAACATTACATTTTCTTAATTTTTTGACGTAAAAAATAAAATAATATATTAATATTGATTAAAAGAAAACTTTTAAATATTATCCACTTAAATTTTAAAATATAAAAATAAAATTAATATGATGATAATTTATGTGTGTCATTTAGAGATAAATTTTACTTAATTAATGAGCTTATATCTTTCCGAAATTTTATTAAAAACATGCAATGTCATAACATATCTAACTAACTGTATAATTAAATTAATTTAAAAAAAAGAGAAGATTATGATGTTGAAGAATAATAATCATTTTTAGCATGTAAAATCACATCAATCTACAAATAGACATTTATGTTATATGTAACATATCATGTACTTTTCTTAGTGTCGGTGGATTCACACCCCTTGAACCTTTATTCTTAGGCTTTAAAGGGTTACATTCCTAAATAGTATATTTATATTGAATTTTTAATTGAGGCTAACCTTTAACTATGGAAGCCAAATCATGCTTTTATAGCACGTTTTCCTCAATCAACAAATTATGAGAGACATATCGATTGAATAAAGCCTTTAGGAGGAGTCCAAGGTCTTAGTAGCCATGGGTGTACTACAAGCAACAGGGATCTGTTTGCCAGTAATTTTAGGCTTGACATTATCACATTTGAACATGGAAGGACCGTTGAACCTTCCTTTGTAAGTGAGGTGAATGTTACCAAGCTCAACTCCCTCACAAGGTGCTCCGCTACTGCATGCAAGTTTGGTGACCACCTGTGTTGCTGATGTTCCTCGGATGTTCTTGAAAATAGTATTTGTTATTTTAACATTTGAAGGATTCTAAAGACAATAAAATAAAAAGTAGAATAAAAGTTAGAAGTCTATATTAAGATTCTAGTAAAATTATTATTTAAACTTACATAATGTATAGTAGCCAACATTGATCCATGCATTTATCCTGATGTATATTGGTGCCAAAAACATATTACAATGACAATAATAAATTTTGTTTTTCTTATCAATTTAAACTTTCATAATAAATAATCATAATAAATTACTTCAGATATAGTACCTTGCGATTGCACAAATTGTGTGAACAATACTCTTGATCAATGAGAATAGGAAAGCTGACGTTATCCATGATAATGTCATCGAAGTGCACATTGGATACTGTTGTTCTGCCAGGAGCTGAAGGCCAACTCTTGATTCTAATTCCATTATTTGTGCCTTTAATAGTGCAATTCCATACTCTAATATTATCCACTGGTTGTTCTTGAACACGTCCTAAACTGCCAATGCTGATCCCATGACCAGGCCCACAAGATACTTTTGAGACTTTTAAGTTTTTGGTGCCATCGCCAATTGAGATACAATCATCACCAGTTTCAATGATGACATCCTCAATTACAATACCATCAGATCGTCCCGTGTGAATTCCATCTGTATTAGGGCTTTCATCAGGTGCAATAAGTTTCATATGGGAGAAAGTAATGTTTTTGCAACCAACACATTGATGTGGAAGTTTTTACTATCCAAAGATGTTATGTCCTTCACTAATCCATTAGTAATGAAATCGAACCTTATACTCTGTTTTATATTCCAATAGAAAAAATATTTGATTACTTAAGACATACATATATTAAAAACATGAGGAAGAGGAGTCATATAATTAGAATCTTACAATGGGAAGTTTTCCGCATTGATATTTTTTGTGACAGTTATTGATAGCCCATGCTGAGGAACCCTGAGCATTAAAAGTTCCACCACCTTGTAAAGTAAAATTTTCGATGTATTGGAAATTAACCCAATTGTCAAATCCCTTGAATCTTGAGGTGTCTTGAGAGGCCAATAATGTGCCTTTCAGTTGGAACTCAATGGGAGCCTTACAAGGACCGGCCAACACCACTCGACCTAAAGCATATTGCCCTTTGGGAATGATAATTTTACTAGGAGTGGGTGAAACACATGCTTCTTTAAATGCTACTAATAGAACCTGAGATAATAATATTAAAAAATAAATAAATAAATTTAATCGAGATCTAATAGGTAATATTTAAAGATTTTGGAATATATATAATCACCTAGCTAATGTCCCTCTTAGGGTCAGGCCTTGCACCATATTTTGTTATATCAAAAACACCTGCTTGAACGTTAGTAATTAGAAAAAATGACAAGAAAGAGGAAACCACATCAAAAAGGGAGTAATTATTAAGACCCATGTTTTGCCTTTTTATTTAGTGATTTAAGACCTGACTCCCTTCTGATTGTATCAAAGCAACAAGATTTATATATATAGCCAAACTCTCAAGCCTATTAATAGAATTTAGGAGACGGACAACATATAAAATTTACGCTTAGTCTTAATTGGCTATCCTATATTAACTCTTTGCCATACAAGCCTCACAAGTTTCCTATTTCAGGAGATTGTCAATAAAATTACTTCAATGCCAAATAAAAATGTAACGGCCCCAGAAATTTAAAATGAAATGTATATTAAAAATATCAAATGCGGAAGCGAAGTCAAAAATTCGATTAACATCCCTTACACTAAAACCAAAAACGTGCTCACAAAATATAAAAGATCAAACTACCTAAAGGAGAAACTTGAAAGTAAAAGCTACGAATATGACTATGGAGTCTTTAGGCGTCCCCTTCGTCGTCCTCCTGCGGAACCGGCTCGAGAACAATGTCTTCCTGATCTGAAATGATTAAATAAGGAATGAGCTACACTAGCCCAGTAAAGACATCACGATATCTCACCGTCACGGAGGTAAAGGTGGGTAGAAAACACAAAAAGACCAATGGAGCATAATTTACAACAAATTCTATTATTAATAATAAATCTTTCACCATCCACTTACCTCGATGAAATCCATAAAACAGTATACGAAAGCAATAACATTATCATCATTATGAAATCATATATGAACTGTATAACATAATACTTATCAAGCCTTTTGTAATTCAATCGTTACACAACATATTTTCCTCATTTACCAGCCCACTAGTATCCATGGGGATCCATAGGGGTCCCGCTACCCGTTAACCCTTAACACTTGAAATCAGATTTCAAGGCCGTCCCCATACCCCGTCCGGTATAGGCACCAAAACTATAAACCTCATTACCCCGTCCGGTATGGGCGCCAAAACTATAAACCTCATTACTCCGTCCGGTATGAGGGTGAAACGGGCCGTCCCCATACCCCGTCCGGTATGGGCGCCAAAACACATAAGATCTCCATACCCCGTCCGATATGGGAGACCACAATCCCGGTAGGGTTCCCTACGGACCCGGTCCGTCCACCATCTCCCAGGATATCTAGTCAAGCTGACCACATTATACAATTACCCATTTACATAATCTTTCATTCTCTTTTCCCTCAGTCAGCATCATCAATCCACATACAAACTAGCAAAACGGTAATTTATATCAAACAGACAACATACAACATCAATATCCCAGTCATTCAATCCATAATCAGTAAAACAGTAAAATATGCACACGAAACTATAAAATGAAAACATCAAACCTCATACTGCATTTAAAACTGTAAAACAGGCTAAATAACAGTTAACCGACAAACACACTAGACTCGGGCTCCATTAGCGACTTTAAGCAATTTCACACATTCGTTGATTCATGAAATACCGTTTTATCATTTATTGAACTTTAATACCGTGATAGGAAATAGGATGAGGGGTCCTTACACGTTTCGGGGTCCGAACACGGCTTCACAGTGCGCCTACAGGCTGTCCTTAATTTTTCCTGCATTTTTTTTAGGAAACTGAAACGCACTACTGGTACCTGCACGTGTTCCAAAAAATCCCAAAATTAGGCCCAGGGCCCCTTTTTGGCCAATATCGCAATTCTGGCACGGCGACGGCGCTGCCGCTTGCGGCGGCGATTCGCCTCGGTTTTGCCGTTTCCGGCCGAATTCGGCCACACTTGCATCGATCCTTGCGATAAAACAACCTTAGGACCCTCGGGGCCCAAAAAATTACGGAAAACCTAAGCTTACCGGCGGCGGTGCTCTCGGGTGCGACGACTCTCCGGTGAAGTTCGTGTTTTGGTGATTCGGCTCCGATCAACCTGTAGAGAAAAGAATGGTGATCACGGTGATATAAAAATTGCATCAAACGGAGGCCGGGAAGGGCCTCATCGGAGGCAAAAATCGAGGAGGGGCGCGGTGGCACCGCTGGGTTTCAGTCGTGTTTTCCGGCCGTTTGGCCGGGATTTTGGCTCTGATTTGACCACAGAGGAAATCAGCGTGGAAAAATGAGTCGGGGGTATGAAATTTACCTCGATTGGCGGTCGAAAATCTCCCCGGTGCGGCGGCGGGTGGCGGCGGCCGGCGTCTCCGGCGTCTGGTTCGTCTTCTCCGGCGAGGGCAGGTGGCTAGGGTTTTTGTGGTCTGGTGTGGGGGTTCTATTTATACCCTTTTGCCTTTTGATCTCAGCCGTCCATTTTGTTTTAATCTGGGTCATCCGTTTTTTGATTAAATCTGGGTCGTCCGTGCGATCGCATCTGGGCCGTCCGTACGCACGCTTGATCTGGGCCGTTCGATCGCGCATACGCGGATCGCCAACGTGGCCCATTCCCGGTCGACGTGGTTTTACCACGTGGCAGGTCCTGGTTGGCCGGGACTGCTGACTGGGTCTGCTGACGTGGCTGCTGACGTGACCCTTTTTTTTTTCCTTCTTCAATTTTCCGGGCGTTACAACTCTCCCCCCCTTAAAGAAATTTGGTCCCCAAATTTGCCTCATTACTCTTGATCGAACAGATGGGGATATTGGGCCCTAAATTCTGATTCCAATTCCCAAGTAGCCTCCCTGGGCGTGTGGTTCTGCCACACAACTTTTACAAATGATATTTCCCGGTTGTGGAGTATTCTGCTCTCTCGGTCCGTGATACCGACCGGTACTTCTTCATAAGACAAATCTTTTTGGAGTGTGAGCGGTTCATGAGCCAAGACATGAGAAGGGTCCGGGTTGTACTTACGTAGCATAGATACGTGAAACACATTATGAACCCGGGAGAGTTTCGGAGGCAGTGCAAGTCTGTAGGCAGTGGTACCAATCTTGTCTAAGATTTCAAAGGGTCCAATATATCTGGGGTTTAATTTTTCCCTCCTGCCGAACCTACTAATTCTCTTGAAGGAGGTGACCTTAAGAAACACCCGGTCGCCTTTCTCAAAAGCCAGGTCTCTCCTCCGGGTATCAGCATAACTCTTCTGCCTACTCTGAGCTGTCTGAATGTTCTTCTTGATTTTAACTATCTTGGAGGTGGTCTCTTCTACCAAATCCGGGCCAAACAATCTTCTATCGCCCACTTCCTCCCAACAAATCGGTGACCTGCAAGGACGCCCGTATAGCGCCTCGTATGGGGCCATGCCGATGCTTGCTTGGTAGCTGTTGTTGTAGACAAACTCTATTAGGGGTAGATGGTCGTCCCAATGGCCCCCGGAGTCAAGGACACAAGCTCGGAGCATATCCTCAAGCGTACGAATTGTCCTCTCTGATTGTCCATCAGTTTGGGGGTGGAAGGCTGTACTAAGACCACTCGACCTAAAGCATATTGCCCTTTGGGAATGATAATTTTACTAGGAGTGGGTGAAACACATGCTTCTTTAAATGCTACTAATAGAACCTGAGATAATAATATTAAAAAATAAATAAATAAATTTAATCGAGATCTAATAGGTAATATTTAAAGATTCTGGAATATATATAATCACCTAGCTAATGTCCCTCTTAGGGTCAGGCCTTGCACCATATTTTGTTATATCAAAAACACCTGCTTGAACGTTAGTAATTAGAAAAAATGACAAGAAAGAGGAAACCACATCAAAAAGGGAGTAATTATTAAGACCCATGTTTTGCCTTTTTATTTAGTGATTTAAGACCTGACTCCCTTCTGATTGTATCAAAGCAACAAGATTTATATATATAGCCAAACTCTCAAGCCTATTAATAGAATTTAGGAGACGGACAACATATAAAATTTACGCTTAGTCTTAATTGGCTATCCTATATTAACTCTTTGCCATACAAGCCTCACAAGTTTCCTATTTCAGGAGATTGTCAATAAAATTACTTCAATGCCAAATAAAAAACCCTACAAAGCAATTAAATATCAAATGCCAATATAAATTTTAGTTAAATTTGAAGCAATTTTTAAAAATAACAAAATAGTCTAAATGGTTAACCAAAGTAATTATTATATTATAAGCAATCAATATAAATATTTTTAAAAATTAAATTCATGTAAAAGCTGTGTTAATAAAACAACCAGGTAAAAACGATCAAAATATCATATCTTATATTTAAAAATGTTATCAAATTTAATTAGGATAAATAAAATGGGTTTTGATGTTGTATAAATATTTAAAAAATGATAAAATATTACTAAAAAATATTTAATTACGAACATCAAACTTCGGTGGTCTAAACTATAACTAACATAATTATTTTAAGAAATATATGAAAAAGAACAAAAAAATAATAAATTAATATCAGAAATATTTATATATACATTTTTCAGCTATAAATATATTAACAATAAAAAATAAGAAGTATCTTTAATTTTTTTTTTATTTTTTATCTATAATTTTTATGTTTATTTGTAGATGGTTTGTTGGGCATAGTCATTAGTTATAATTTCTTCCGTATAATGATATAGATATCATCAACTTATAAGAATTAAAAAGAAAAAAAGAAAAAAAAAGAAATAATTAGGTCATGTTTAAAAAAATTTTAAAAAAATGAATTTTAAAGTAATTAAAAATCAAAGCAGCACTCATTTTAAGTAAATAATATATATTTAGTAATAATAATGATTAATTAATTAAAATAATTAATGATAACTAATTAATTTGATTATTGAGGACAAATGGAGGAAGGGGCTAAAGAAGATCAACGTGGGTCACCCGGTTCGCTTTTCGCGGCCTCACCCATCACTCATTCACGGCGTTTGGAAATGGTGTATTTCTCATTCTTTCCCCTTCCTCCCTTTTTAACCTCGACAATTAAACAAACCCTAAGATTAAATTAAATTATCAATTATCTTAATTAATTATTCGATATTATTAAATAAAAAAAAGGGAGAGGGAGATTGTCTTAAAAAGTATATATATATATATATTTTTTAATTACTTTAAAATTGAAAATTATAACATCCCGAGTCCGAAAATTAGGCTCGGGATGGATAATTTTATTTTGTTCTAAATAATGATAATATTACATTCCTAAATTTTAATTATTTTTAATCATTTTTATTGATTTTTTTTAAATATATATATATTTTGGGTGTCTTTAAAAATGAATTCCAAAAGCCATGATCAAATTGTAAATAAAGGAGAGTATATTTGAAAGAAAAAATTGAAAACAAGAGTTGAATCACCACACGCCGCGTGGCATACATGCTGACACAAGCTCTACACAGGAAGTCACGCGGGTAATCTGTGTGTCAGGCCGATCAAATAGCTCGGAGCCACTCTCGCGTGCACGAACAACCCATATCAATTTCCCGAATAAGCTTAACTGAGAGGAAGAATTGCTGGAGAAGGAGGACTAAGCGGCGGAGCACGGCGGCACCGCCGCGCTAGAACTCTAACCCGACCCCCGATGAGATTTTTGCCATTTTTTCACTGTTCCTTGCATATTTTCATGTCATTTTGATGAATGTTTTCAATCTTATTAGAAAAACTCAAGAACTTCAAGAACCAGAAATCGTCGAGAATCATAGTGAAAAAGATGGTGTTTTGGACACTGACCTAGTGTAAGAATCTCTCACCCATTTTTTCTGTTACGGTTAAACTAAAACTAAATTAATAATAAATGAAAATTGTAGATAATTGGCAATACCTTAATTAATTAAGTACAAGTTGCTGATGGAGCCAGTAACCGATTAGTCTATGATTGTCATTAGTTTAATTGTGTTAGCTATTTCTTCAGTCACTTTATTATGCTTATTTATTTACTTTATTCTATTTTAAACTACTTCAATCTATTTTCCTTAATCTAAATTTTTTGTTGTTCTATTTGTACATAATACATTTCAGTCAGTATAATGTATAATTATTTCATTCACGTATTCTAAAATATGAATTTCGTACTCTTGTGTTGCTTAGGGATGCAGGCATACACGTTATAAGGTTAAACGGTAAACAAAAGAAAAGATATGCGTGAACTAATGTTGTTGAATGAAAAGGTTTATCGGTTGTCATAGGAAAGAGTGTACGGACTTGGTGCATAGGGTGAACCATACCATGGACGTTACCTTCAGCCGTACGGGACTGGAAAGTCCAATACCGAATGAGGTTGGGAGTTTATAAATGTCGGTCATACCAGATGGGGTATTGAGGTAGTTGTTTGTTGTGATGCCTATTACCAGATGGGATATGGGGACAATTGTTTGATTACCAAGAAAATATTTATATCCACGTGTAGCGGGAATTCCTATGGATCATCAGTGACACCAGTAGAGAAAGATAAAATGATAGAGTAGAGATGAACATAGTAAGGAATCCGATTTTGGGAAAATAGTAAAGAGTCAAATATTATACATCTTTTAAAATGTATATTGTTATATTGTTATCTTAATTTTTATTTTAACGAATGACATTTGAGAAGTTACAGGTTAGTCGAAAAAATGTTGACATTTTTAGTGAAGTCAATAATGAATGCACTAACATTCGAGTTTTATTAAGAATGAGTTTTATTAGTTGTTTTATGTTCTCTACAACCTTTTGATTTTCCGTATCAGTAGTAAGGTGTTGATATTCTTATTGAGGTAGTGTAGTTCACCTCATTCTTATTGACCATTTTAGATCAGAACGATAAATACCCGGATCCTGAACAGTAAGAGACCAGTTAAAGAATTAACTCTTCCGTTTCGCCAGTTTTGAGTAGAGGTTAACTATATTTATTTTTAATGTTTTTTCCCCTTTGAGTTTCAAAAGCATTTCCATAGTCCCTATTTGGGCATTTTAAGTAAACGTGCAAGGAATGTAATATTCAAACTTTAATTGCTTTTGCTAAATAATAAATTTTAGTATTATTTATTTTACTATTACTAAGTTATACGCTTGAAATTCTATATAGAAATTTGAGCCTTTACAGTTGGTATCAGAGTTGCGTTCTTCGAAACCATTTCTTGCACATAGGGTTAGAGTAAATTTAATGCAACCGAATCCCAAATCATTGTTATAAAATGTAGGTAAGGAAACATGAGAAGAGGGAGGTCCTCGCTAAGTAGAGCAGCCTGGGATGGATCACTTCAGAAGGATGTTGATCAACTTTTTGAGATGCCTGAGAGACTTATTTCTGCCCATTAGGCTAGGGAGGAGAGAAGGAAGCTGTCTGATCCCCCTCCACTCCTGCCAGAGTATGAGTCACCTCCATATAGAAAGGATCCAGTAACCCCACCGTATAACCCAGTTCCTCCACAGTGCTATCTGGCAGCGTTGCAGTACAATTTGGTGCCTCCACCATACAATCCGGTGGGCATAGAGCACAGGGCCACCCGGTTCCTCCTCAGCATAATCTAGTTCCCCTCCAACAGGACCCAATTCCGCCTATGTTGGACTCAGATTATATTGAGAGGTATAACATATTTAACCCATCTACTTTTGTATAGGCATCTATTTTTGATAAAGATGAGTACTGGTTAGTGCAGACAAAGAAGGCTTTCGCAACTCTTA